TCACTAATCCTCGGCCTCCTTCCTTCCGCTTAGTGTACAGTCTCAGGATGCTGGACTTGAGGTGAAACCCACCGTGCATTGTAAGGAGCTTCCTTGTTTTGATGTGTCAGTGGCCTCTATCTCCTCCTTTGGCCAGCTTATTATGACAGCGGGGTACCTGATGACCGGCAGTGCATAGGTGTTAATTGCCTGGACTTTGTTCTTTCCATTCAGCTGACTTCTCAAGACTTTCCTTACTCTCTACAGGTACTTGGTGGTTGCCACTTTCCTTGCAGCATCTTCATGGTTCCCATTTGCCTGCAGGATCCCAAGGTACTTGTAGCTGTCCTCAACATCTGCTATGTTGCCTTCAGGTAGTATAATCCCCTCAGTTCTGACTACCTTCCCTCTCCTTGTTACCATTCGACCACACTTATCCAGTCCGTATGACATTCCAAATTTCGTAGTCGGTTTTTGTCACCGCTCTTGGTGATGATCTGGCTGAGAGGGTTTAGGCCTATGCAGAACAGCAGCGGGGACAGGGCATCTCCTTGATAGATACCGCACTTGATGCCGACTTGTGCAATTGGCTTGATGTTGGCCTCTAGGGTTGTTTTCCACATTCCCATTGAGTTCTTGATGAAGGCTCTTAGAGTCCTGTCAATGTTGTACAGTTCCAAGCATTCCAGGATCCATGTGTGAGGCATTCAGTCATAGGCTTTCTTGTAGTCAATCCAGGCAGTGCACAGGTTGGTATGCCTGGTCTTGCAGTCTCGTGTGACTACTTTATCAACTAGTAGCTGGTGCTTTGCGCCTCTGGTTACTACCAATTCCTTTTATATCTATATCTATAGGAATAGTCTACCTTTTATTGTTAGATTAGCTACTGACCTCATTACTTTTAAATCATTGCAAACATATTTATTTGTCTTGGCTTTTAATACACAGTAGGGCCTGATGCATTCCTTTTAATTTATTGAATGCATGTCATCTGTGTGTCTGTGTTATTGTGCTCTTTTATTTTTTGCCCTGACCTTATTTATTCTATTTTAGTCATTTATTGTGATTTTATTCTGCCATGTAAAGTACTTTGGTCAACTGGATGTTGTTTTTAAAGTGCTATATAAATAAATTTGCTTTGATTTGAGATATGAAAACACAGATAGAAAATATAAGAACATGTACATATTTCCTGTATTTTCTGGTTATATCTTAATAAAGTGACTGAGAAATAACTATAAATTATCATTAGAAACAGTACAGAACCAGTAAAACTAATGGTGGCTTAATATTTTTCAACAGTACTGTATTGCTGATGCTGCATTCTGCATCACAGAAAGAGATTGCAACTGTTTAACCTCTAGAGTCCCTGCGTCCTCATATGAGGACCGCACAGCTTGGGTTTCCAAAGCTCAGGACTCTAGAGGTTAATGACAAAGTTCTTCTCGGTATCTGAGAAAAAATTATCTGTTATGAGAGAGTAATTTTAGGCCATCTAACTTACTAATTTATATCATGCCATACAAACTATTAATACTTTAATTTCAAGTGTGTACGTTTATTTACAAAAACTAGGCTGAATTCAAAGTGGATTAAAGTGAATCGTAACTTTTATCCTCTACATAAAATGCACCCAGTTGCCAGTGTAACAGGTTAAAAATAATGCAGTGACATAACTGATATAAAAGGGGAGGACAAAATATTAGGTTTCTATGACCACAACCCTAAACCTACAGCGTTCAAAATGATCACATAGGTAAAATAACATCTCAGGAAAACAGTTTCAGGAGAAAACGATCATTATAATTTTCATGAAGGTGGACTGTATTGCAGGACTGCTACAATACTGGTCAAAACCTTGGACAGTTTTTTTTTTATTGAACTGAATGGGAAAGTATGGTTGTGTACATTAGATATCATCCGTTTTAGCAATACTGTATTTACCTCATATATTGTTTGTTGAAAGGTTAATTTGTCAAATAATCAATACAGGCTGTGTACACGTAATGACAGTTGCATCAACAGTAACGTGCCCTAGGTGGGACAAACAGACTTATCATGTATTGACACTTGTCAATCGAAAAAGAACACGTGACGACTGATAGGCAAATATATTAGCATGGTAAACACTGCTATTGTTAAGCAGACAATGGTAGTAGCCTTGTGTAACGTTAACACTGTCATCTGATACGGTCAAATAAAAGAACAAGGGCGAAACTATTCAGCACAGTGTCAACGTTAATTACGCAACATAAGACAAATGTGAACACATATAACGCACCTAGCTAGCTGAATACCAAGTTAGCTAGATAACTGGTTGACTAACGTGACAGGGCAATAACCACTCTAGCAAACAAACGAGAAACGATGACCAAATCATCAACTGTTAACTTCTTTGAAAGTTGGCTAGTTAGAAAGACTACCCATGTCTGTCCTTGAATGGTGACATCCACATACCAAAACAGTGTCTTCTCCAACCACCCACCTGCTCCAAGTCGTTCACTCACCTGATATGTACTTTGGCGTTTCTGGTCGTTCCCGTTTTTACTGCGACTTCTATTCCACAAATGACATGAACTCATCTGGCGAAAGAGAAGTGCAAATTTTCGTTTCTGAAAGTGAACGCCACATTTCAGCGGTAGCAACATCGCCGCCATGTTTGCCAAGGGTTAACGCGGTAAGTCAACGCGCCGGTTACGTCATATCCGGTCTTCGTCAACGCTACCAGTGTCAAAGCTAGCAAGAGCGTGGTTATATTGAATGTTACATTTTTTGAAGAAATTGCAGCCGCTGGTCTAATTTTAACACGAGGTGACTGAGTACATAAGTTTGTGAACGCGGTCCTATTGAGCAGGTTATATGCGGTATCTGCTTGAATCGGATACTTTCACTTCAGAACAAGGGTCGTCGCTGAGGGAAGAGCCACGTTGTCTTTATCAGATAGCGTCTGTGTCAGATAGCTAGTGGATGTCTCTCGACACAGTTTTAAGAGAACCCCATTGATCTCAGGATGCCATGCCACAACCAGCAGGTGAACACAGTCAGCAGTGGCCAGGAGCACCCAATGAAACAAGTACGGTTTGCGACCAGTAGCAGCAGTAACGTTAGTGTTCCTGCAGTGCTGTCCAACTCTGAACCAAGTGATGACAACATACAGCCTGTCAGCCTGGAGGATGTGGGCCCGCAGCTCAAACTGCTTCCTCTAAATGACCAGATCCGTGAATTACAGACTATAATCAGAGATAAGTGAGTCCCCGCTGTTTGTTTTGACATGACATACATGCAGTAAATCTCAGTAGCCAGGCAGAAGTGGAAGTGATTAACTCTTCTAGAGCAAAGCTGAGAAAATTGCATCTCTTCACTTAACCTTTACTAATAGGACAAGGTTAGATTCAAGCTATACTGTACAGTTAAGTATCATAAAACTATATTTTCTGTGGTCTTTGACTGTTGCCATCTGTGTGAGTTAGTGATGCACCATTCTGGTAAATGATTATTATCACACATACTAATCTACTGAATCATCTGTATTGATCATACAGGATATGCAACTGATTCACTTGGACCTCTACAATCACGCTGCCCTCCTCATGCTCTCCAGCAAAACATACAGTGCCTATAAGAAGTATTCACCCCCTTGGGTGCTTTACCTTTTTATTGATTTTATAAATGAGTCATGGTCAATGTAATTTTTTTTTTGACAACAAAAATTACAAAAAAATATTTTTAATGTCAAAGTGAAAACAGGTTTCTACAAAGTAATGTCAATTAAATAAAATATGTAATGGGCAATAAGTGATTCTTTGCAAAACTGCTCAAACTCTGCCAGGTTTCACGGGGATCAGGCGTGAACAGCCACAAATTCTCTATTGGACTGAGGACTGAGCTTTGACTCAGTCACTCCAGAACACTCACCTTGTTGTCTTTAAACCATTTCTGTGTAGCTTTCGCTGTATGCTTTGGGTCATTGTCCTGCTGGAAAATAAATCTTCTTCCAAGCCGTAGGTCTCTTGCAGACTGAATAAGTTTGTCCTCCAGGATTTTTCTATATTTTGCCATGTTCATTTTACCCTCTGCCTTTACAAGCCTTCCAGGGCTGGCTGCCAAGAAGCATCCCCACAGCATGATGCTGCCACCACTGTGCTTCACAGTGGGGATGGTGTGTTTGTGGTGATGTGCAGTGTTTGGTGTCCGCCAAACATAATGTTTTGTCTGATGGCCAGAAAGCACCATTTCTGGTCTCATCAGACCAAAGAACTTTCTTCCACTTGACCATGGAGTCTGCCACATGCCTTTTGGTGAACTCTAGTCACGATTTAATGAGTGTCTTCAACAGTGTCTTTCTCTTTGCCACTTTGGTGAAGAACCTGGGGAATAGTTATTGTATGCAGAGTCTCTCCCATCTCAGCTGCTGAAGCTTGTAACGCCTTTAGAGTAGTCATAGGTGTCTCGGTGGCCTCTTTCACTAGTCTCCTTCTTGCACAGTCACTCAGTTTGTGAGGATGGGCTGATCTAGGCAGATTTAGACATGTGCCATATTCCTTCCATTTCTTGATGATGGATTTAACTGAACTCCAGGGGATGTTCAGTACCTTGGAATGTTTTTTTGTATCCATCCCCTGACTTATACTTTTCAATAACCTTTTCTCTGAGTTGCTTGGAGCGTTCTTTTGTCTTCATGGTGTAATGGTAGTCAGGAATACTGATTAACCAGTGACTAAAACCTCCAGACACAAGTGTCTTTACACTACAATCAGTTGAGACACATTCACTGCACTCTGGTGATCCCCATTTCACTAATAGCGCTCCCAAGCACTCACGCATTTACACACCAGTGACATCACTGGGAGCAACTGGGGGTTCAGTGTCTTGCTCAAGGACACCTCGACATGTTGACTGGACAATCGAACCGCTAATCCTCCGGTTAGGAAACGACCCACTCTACCTCCTGAGCCACAGCCGCCCCCGTTAGCTGCACCAGTTAGCTGGACTTCTGGTGGTCAGTTGACTGAAGGTCAGTCATTTTTAAAGAGGGTGAATATTTATGCAATCCCTTATTTTACCTTACATATTTTTGTTTAATTGACATTACTTTGTAGAAACCTGTTTTCACTTTGATTAGAGTTGGGGTTTTTTTGTCAAAACAGCCAAATTATATTGACCATGATTGATTTATAGAATCAATAAAAGGGTAAAACATCCAAGGGGGTTAATACTTTTTATAGGTACTGTATTTCAAACCCACAGAATGTTACTTTAAATCCTAAAGTTTCCAAAGATACAAAATATGATAGGGTATATTTGGAGGATACTGTATTAAAATAATATGCAAGACTTGTAGAATAATTGTTTTATTGAATAGTGTTGCCATAAAAACCATGGAGTCTTGGATAAAGGATAAGTGATACTGTCAAGACAGTGTGAAATAAAAGATTGTCCAAACCTGAAGCTATTGTGGATGCTAGTTAATGAATGTTGGAGGTTTAAATAGTTTCTAAGGCACTACCATAATATACTGTATTTTCAGCTATACAATCTTTGAGAACTATAGATCATTTGCACTAGCATCAAAATGACAGTGTATGAACAAATCCACACATTAAGTGAATCGGTTTCACACAGTGAGGAAAGGATTTAAAATTTAAAGATAGGATAAAATCACTGGTATTGAAGCAGTGCTGAGTATAGCCTAAATTAATCTAATCAAATTAATATTTATATTATTATATTTTTTCAGGACAACCAGCAGAGGAGATTTTGTCTTTTGTGCTGACCGACTGGTAAGGTCATGACTTCATTACTACATAGTGCAAGTGTGTGTACATACGTCTATAAAATGCATATCATGTTTTTTGTCCAACAACAGATCAGACTAGTAGTCGAAGAGGGTTTGAATCAGCTCCCCTACTCGGAGTGCACCGTGACCACGCCAACAGGTGACAATCTCTCTTTAATAAAACCATCAACAATTAAGTTTAAATTTTGCGAAGACGTCACCAAATCACTATCCACTTTCATGGGATGTCACATCCCAATGTCTGCCTTGCATACTAGGAGACATATCCACAGTCAACTTAAACAACATCAACAGTGAACTACTCGTTGTGGCTCTAGCTATCGCCAAGAGAACTATCCTCATGAACTGGAAGTCAAGAAACGCTATACAAATAGCATCATGGAAAAACCTACTAACAGATTATATCACTATAGAGAACCTGTGCACTTCAGTACAAGACTCCCCTCTTGGTCAGCTTTCACTACCTTTCTTCTGTTATGACTCCATTGGTCTTCTTTGCCTGAGAACCAACCACAGCCACCCATGTTCATAAACATTCTTATGATGGGGAAGGACATGAAAAAGCATCAACACTCCTCAACATGGAGTCATTTAATACAATTAAAGATTATTATTATTATTATTATTATTAAAGCTTCACTGCATCTCCCAACCCCTTTTTTATGGTTGGCTCACTATGCTGTTTTTGGTGTGCTTCACGTCCCGGGTGGGCTGGGGTGGGCAGGAACCTCTTCAGTACTGGGTGGGGCAGATATAGTTGGATGCAGTATGGGCTCTTGAGTCGTGCCCTCCAGCCACCCCTCTGCCTCTTTTTGCCCGGGTCCTCTGCCCTGGACTGTGCCTATATCACATGCCTTTTTGTTGTTTGTTTGTTTTAATGCATCACACACCAGTTGAGGTACATACATGTCAACACACATCAACAGCAGTAGGGTAAGTGAGGCATGGCTGTGAGGGTCTGCACTGCACACTTAGCTTTCTATCCATACAGAGATGTAAACCAGTAGGCCGGTAGTCTGTCAGAAATGTGTGTATGTGTACGTAGTTACAGTGATACCAGAGTGATGAGTGAAGGATGCATCATGTTAAGCCAGAGGAGATTTTGTCTTTTGTGCTGACCGACTGGTAAGGTCATGACTTCATTACTACATAGTGCAAGTGTGTGTACATACGTCTATAAAATGCATATCATGTTTTTTGTCCAACAACAGATCAGACTAGTAGTCGAAGAGGGTTTGAATCAGCTCCCCTACTCAGAGTGCACCGTGACCACGCCAACAGGTGACAATCTCTCTTTAATAAAACCATCAACAATTAAGTTTAAATTTTGCGAAGACGTCACCAAATCACTATCCACTTTCATGGGATGTCACATCCCAATGTCTGCCTTGCATACTAGGAGACATATCCACAGTCAACTTAAACAACATCAACAGTGAACTACTCGTTGTGGCTCTAGCTATCGCCAAGAGAACTATCCTCATGAACTGGAAGTCAAGAAACGCTATACAAATAGCATCATGGAAAAACCTACTAACAGATTATATCACTATAGAGAACCTGTGCACTTCAGTACAAGACTCCCCTCTTGGTCAGCTTTCACTACCTTTCTTCTGTTATGACTCCATTGGTCTTCTTTGCCTGAGAACCAACCACAGCCACCCATGTTCATAAACATTCTTATGATGGGGAAGGACATGAAAAAGCATCAACACTCCTCAACATGGAGTCATTTAATACAATTAAAGATTATTATTATTATTATTATTATTTGAGCTTCACTGCATCTCCCAACCCCTTTTTTATGGTTGGCTCACTATGCTGTTTTTGGTGTGCTTCACGTCCCGGGTGGGCTGGGGTGGGCAGGAACCTCTTCAGTACTGGGTGGGGCAGATATAGTTGGATGCAGTATGGGCTCTTGAGTCGTGCCCTCCAGCCACCCCTCTGCCTCTTTTTGCCCGGGTCCTCTGCCCTGGACTGTGCCTATATCACATGCCTTTTTGTTGTTTGTTTGTTTTAATGCATCACACACCAGTTGAGGTACATACATGTCAACACACATCAACAGCAGTAGGGTAAGTGAGGCATGGCTGTGAGGGTCTGCACTGCACACTTAGCTTTCTATCCATATATCCATTACCTGTGTTGTTTATTCCTGAATAAGGTCACATTCATGAGGCCATCCTCATGATGGGATCTGGGGTGGCCTTAGACAACAGTTTATTAGTAGCCACTATTATTATTGTTATTAGTTTGTGGTTGTTGTATTTGTTACTACTATCGTTATATCCGTTATACATTTTAAAAGGGTTTTGTATTCATTTATATACTCCCTCCCCCAAAGCCCTGACACACATGCACTCCTCACACACATGTACGCACGTACAGGAATTAGCAGAATTGATTTGTCTTCTTTCTCTCGGCTTAGGTTTATTGGTATGTTATTTTGTTGGTTTCTTTTTAGTGGTTGTCTGCTTACCCTGGTACCTTCTGTTTGTCACTCATTAATGATGTCACTTTCTTTAATGTGCAAATAAAATTTTAAATAAGTTTAATGGTTGGACACAGGATCTGAACTCCAACATGAAGGGTTACTCCAAGCTGGATAGAGTTGACCAGTTATAATCTAGTAAATGCAGGGATGGATCTGAGGCCCCCATCTTTCTGCCTTTTACCTCCAGCATATAGGGCTGAATGACCTTTTTCAGAACAGCTACCTTTCTGAATGTTCCTACTCCATTTTTTCTCCCTCAGGTTACAAGTATGAAGGTGTCAAGTTTGAAAGAGGCAACTGTGGAGTCAGCATTATGAGGAGTGGTAAGTTAAACTTGTCGTGGCACACCTACCAAATTAGTCTTTCCTTTGTAAGGGCATGCTGTGTCTTCCATGCATATGTGATTTGTGCTGACTGTGCTGTACATTCTGTTCTGCACTTGTTCATCAGGTCAGGCTATTATGCGCAGTGGATCATAGGTTTCTTTTACTTATTTCGGTTCTCTCAGTCAAACTGATGGATTGTGTGAATGCTAAATAAAGTTACATGGAGCATTGGGATCTGTACAGTTCCCAAGGCATCGCAGTCAGCGAAAGTGACTCTTGCTTGTTCTTTGTCCTTCAGATTTAATGAGACTGTTACAACTGTCGTATTCAAAACCTATTTTATCTTTTTATGTATAAGTCAAAACACCTGCACTCTTTTCTGTGTGTGTCCGGAGGTGTCTTGACTCACATTACTGTGGGTTGATGTGCAGGATTTCTCATTTACCTGTCAGCACCCCTGAGGAGCACAATGGAGTAAAGATTTCTGGCATAACTTCACCCACTGTCAAGGTGCGCGGAGAAGGGAAATCGATCTCGAAGAGCAGCAGTTTTAATACATTTGCTGCACTGTGTGCATGTGCACTAAGTATTGCTATTTTATTTAATGTTTTAATGGTGCATTTAGACTTAGAGTAGTCCTCAGAGGCATACAGAATTTAATATACTTGACATTTTTATGAGCGCTGTTCATTCCAAATACTTTACGATGACATCTGCAGCAGTAAGATGATCAGAGTGAAATATGCAGTACCTTATTAGATAAAGAGGATTCTGATTTAACAAGTTTCTCATTATTTGATGCCAAATACGTTAGAATAAACTTTATCATAACTATCAGCCTGCCACAAGCAATTAGGAGACTGTAACTAAACTGTGCCATTGCTCAAGTGTTGTGATAAAATATTACAGGCCGTGTGGTGATGCTACTGAAGAAAAAACACCCCACCCCATACCAGAAATGTATTTAAAAGTACAACATTTTGGCCCTGGTTGTGATCTGTGTCTCTCTCCGCAGGAGAGGCCATGGAGCAGGGTCTCCGCGATTGCTGCCGATCCATCCGCATTGGCAAGATCCTGATCCAGAGCGACGAGGAGACACAGAAAGCCAAGGTCTACTACGCCAAGTTTCCCCCAGATGTGTACAGAAGAAAAGTGCTGCTCATGTACCCCATTCTCAGTAAGCAACAGTTTATCCTACTGAGGACTCCAGAGCACCACCTTCAGCAGCACATTAATGTCAGATGTCCATTTTCGTGCAAATGTGAAAACGGTTCCATCTATTTATTTATTTTGAGAAGTCTCCCTTGAGTTGACCTTCACCACCAAGTCTGCATTTCCACATCATACAAGCTCATTCACACTGTTCTGATAATTATAGCTCTCATGGGGGAAATTATACAGTGCCTGAGAGATAGCCACCAAGCTGCTGAATAACATAATGAGGGCCCACAAAAATAGTATCTAATAGCCCTGGTTTTCCAGTGTCACAAAGCAGCATTATTTTGCTCGCAGTTTTAGAAAAAAATATATGATGGCAACCAAGCAATGTTGAAGGTACATTTCATTATGTCAAAATGATGGACCATATGGTTACGCTGATGCATGCTAACAGGGTCAGAAATTAAAGCCTGCCAATTGCCCAGACTCATGGGCAAACTCAGCACACAGCTCATTACCTTTTTCAGATGCTATCATAACACACCAAGTGATATGGAACCAATCAAACTGTAATGCTTTTAATTTAAAATGTTTTATATTTAATTATATCCTTTAACTCTACTTTTTAAAAGCAAGTCAGAATATGTTAACATTTTTCTGTAAAATAAAGTGCACTGTAAAAAGTGAAATGTGAATCAGAAATCTGACTGGTTTTGTCTGCAGGTACAGGGAACACTGTGATCGAGGCGGTGAGGGTGCTGATAGAGCACAGAGTCCAGCCCAAACATATCATCCTCCTCAGCCTCTTCTCCACGCCTCATGGTATACCAACACAGCCAGCTCATTACCACTTTAGTTTTATTGACCCCATAACACATTTAGTCTCAATTCTCCTCTTCTTGCTGGATCATTGCTTCCATATACACTGATCAGCCATAACATTATGACCACCTCCCTCATACTGTGTACACAGGAGTCAATGCGGCAGTTGATTGGCGCTTATGTCACGCTGCAGCTCACTGTGGATCTTCAGTGAATCTGTTTGCTTCCATAGTTTTACTGTCAGGAAGGGCACAAATTTATCCACCATTCAATGAAAAATGTACGTAAAATGTATCAAAACTGTGGCTGTGAGGACAAGTCAGAGATAATTTTTGTAGACAAATTCAACAGCCTCCCCACTCTAGATGTGATATCGCCACTACAGTCAATGAATGTTTCTCTTCATAGAGACCAATATACAGTATTTCTCACTTTCAACCATTTAACCTCTAGAGTCCCTGCGTCCTCATATGAGGACCGCACAGCTTGGGTTTCCAAAGCTCAGGACTCTAGAGGTTAAACAAAGATTTAAACAATCTTTTAAAAAAAGATGAATGACATTTAAAAGTTTAATCTACAGTAGGTCGACCTCATCATCAGTGAGACTTGGGCATCCATGACCCTGTCGCTGGTTTACTGTTTGTCCTTCCTTAGACACTTTTGATAGGTACTGACCACTACAGACCAGGAACACCAACCAAGACCTGCAGTCTGGGAGATGCTCTGACCCAGTCATGTAGACGTCACAGTTTGGCTCTTGTCAGAGTGACTCACATCCTTATGCTTGCCTGTTGTTCCTGCTTCCAACACATCAACTTCAAGTACTAAGCAGTTAACTTACTGCCTAATATACCCACACACTGACAGGTGCCATTGTAACACGTTAATTAACTTCACCTGTCAGTGGTCATAATGTTAGGGCTGATCAGTTTTATATACAGCTGGTAACCACAGTGCTGTTCTGTGCCACTACTGATGATAAGTCTTACCCAGCATATCCTCCTTGTGAGGATTCAGTTGTCATTTTGGACATTCCAGAATAATGTGTCGACCTGTAACTGGAGTTTTCCCTCCGTCAGCTACTATCCAGATTGCCATGACATTTAATGTGGATATTCTTGGTTTCCCAGTGAAGGATTTCAAATGTTTATATAACCCTTTGACCTAGTGCTCTCATTGAGCTAAAAATCTCCACTTTAACACAAGCGATATTGAAATCCTAAGGACATGTAACTGTAAAACTTTCTGATCCTTGAAGCCTGTTGATTTAACCTATCTCAGACTTTTCTCCCAGCATGCCAATATTTTTTTATTCATTTAAAACCTTGTAGCGGCCACTGCAGTGTTACTGTAGCATGCTTACAGAATAATGTGACCATGCCTAAGGAAGTAGCATAGTGTTGTAATCTCATCATTTTTAAAATTTTCTTTTAGGAGCGAAATCTATAATCCAGGAGTTCCCAGATATCACCATCTTGACCACAGAGGTTCACCCAGTGGCTCCGACACATTTTGGCCAGAGGTACTTTGGCACTGACTAACCGAGGACAACCTGAGGAACATGGTCCGCAGTTTGTATTCTTTATTTAGGTGTATCTCGTGTTCTTCTTGTTGTGCCAAATATTGCTACTATCCCCAGAGTTTTTAACTGACACAAATAATGAATCTGATCGAATGTAGTTGTTTTTTTTTTTTTTTGCTGTGATCTTCATGCTAGACAAAGGAAACACTGAACCGTTTAGAGTTCAACATGGATCATTTTATTCTGTTTGTTGACTCATGGATCAATAAAGAATTTATATTTGTTAACAGACAGAACAACAAATAACACAGTGTCAGTATTTTTGGTGGTTCAGTGAAAAAGGGAAGCGCCACAATCACATACTCCAAAGACAATTTAAACAACACTGAACTCCTGTCTGCAAACTGGGTATAAATGTCATCTTTTCATTTTATAAATATCCTACTATCTGATAAAAGCACATAGTTTCAGTATATTAAGTGTCATTTGATGGAGCAACATATACAGACACTGCCTGCAGCAGCTATGAATCCATAAACTCGCCAGGAAAAGCTGAACATTATAACAATAAATATACGAATATACATGAAACACTCAACGTCCACATCTTCCCTAATGGTTTTTTTTTTTATACATGCTGTCAAACACTGAATCATACATAAGATAAAAAGGACATACGGCTTTAATCAGTAAATGACATCTCAGCTTTCTCAACATGAGCAGCATTTTATTTGGCTTCCCCAACACAGAAAAGAAGATCTGGTTTAGCAAACACCATTAAGGTAGGATGAAGTTCTATTTTTTCCCCACACTTTATTAATGGGTGTAAATTACAGAAGTGGTTTAACCAAGTAAATAAAAATCCATAAAACTCTATAGGAGAATCAGTTTCATTGATATTAAAAATTTCAATATCCATAAACCAGGTAGAAAAAAATCTAAACATCATATTGCAGAAGACTCCTGACCTCTACCAACCAGTGGATGAGGAACAGATGTCAGATATCTATGTACAGTTATCTGCATGTTTAAAAAGATCAAAAATGAAAAAGGACATAGAAGAATCTCTGTCCTCTCCTATGCATGATTTTGTGCCTATGTCAAAAACCATTCTCACTTATCACTTTGCATCCACACAGATGTATTAGGGATGGCTGACATGGTAGAAAACAGGATTGGGATTATTATTTGAAAAAAAGATTATCACAGTATGTCTTGTACGCTCATCCCAGTCATATTTGTATTAATTAGCAATGCAGCCAACTGTATTTTAGTCAGTGATAATATAATGCAGCATATTCAGCAAGACCACTGAGAAATGATAATTATATTAAGTTTGCCATAATACTATCTTTGAGATGTCAGCATTAATTTTCAGATGTAATGAACTGTAGCTGTGAACCAGAACCTTTTTTTAAATTACTGTCACCAGTCTGATCAGACCTGTAATGGCATTTAACTCAACGGTTATGAGGACTACATATGATAAGTTCTGTAACTAGATGCCCAAAACGTTGGCATGTCTACTCCCAAGCAGGATGCTAGACATTCTTGAAGAAATAAGCTCCCATAACACAGGAATAAATATATTAATAAGGTGTAGGTTAAGTCAGTTATTCTAGTATGCTCTCGTTAAGTGAAGGAAATAAAAGAATAATAATAAAGTCTAATGTTAATATGCTGCAAGACCCAAACCAGTAGACGTCAGACAAGTGATGACTACAGGAGACCTCTGGAATGTTATCAGTGCGAAGTTAATTTAGATACTGCCCAGCACAGAGAAAACTAAGCTGCATCTCTAAACTCAGCCCAACACTGAAACAACACTTGGTCTTGAGATGAATAACCACCGGCAAATATACAACTGTTTCCGATCTGTATGTGAGGTAAGTTTTTCTGAATCAAACTGTGATACTGTGATTTATCCATCCACGAGAGGAGAGGTGATGCTGCTGCTTGTCATCCATTGAGGTCCTCTATTCATCCTTATGTAAAATGCCATGGTAAAAGTGGTAATGACAATCCAAATGCAGGATTTGATCCACAAGTTTGGCCCCCTTCAGAATATTTTTCAGTGTCCATATGATTTTTTTTTGGAATGCATTTGCCTCATGGTACACAGTGTGTATGATATTACTATACATTCTTTGTACCTCTGTCCTTGCATTAAATTATTATTCTTCCATCTCTATAGTAACAGAAGGGTCTTGGTCCTCAACTGGAATGAAAGAAAGACATTTCAGATTGTAAATGAGTCACTGTTTTTCAGAGTTTATAACTGATTTAGACTGTACAGTAGTTAACACTGAGATGCATAAGACCACCAGGTGGTGGTAGAATATTATGGTTAGAATCCAAACACAGCAAACTACTATACTGGGTGTGACTGCTGCTTCCAGATCACTGAAACTGAACAAATACTGTACAAATTTGCAGTTGCTTGGTATGATTACCGTGGCAAAGAAAGTTCACAGTCATGACCCTAAACCAGTGGTTCTCAAGACATTTTTTGTCATTCCCCCCCTTAAGAGGGTGGGCGAATTTTCAAGCCCCACTTGCCAATAAAAATGATAACGAAATCGGCCAATTTTAAAATATCAAATGTATTGAAATATCAAATAACACCAAGTTCAAAACAGATCAAATATAAGTGCAACTGTATCGTTTGACAGAGGGATAGTTTTCACTTTTGCAGCACTTGTCTCATCCAGCATAATCGACACCATGTCTACAGTTACAGGGAGAATGAGCTGCTCAGCAATTGTGTGTGGTTTTATGCACTGTGCAATTCTCTATGCCACTTTGAATGAAGCCATTTGTGCTTTGCTGTTCACTGATGTGGATTTTACCATGCAATTTTTCTGCTGACGGTTTTCTGCCAGCTTTCTTTCAAAGAAGTCGAGTGGCTTATTAACGTGACTGGGGTGTGTTGTCTCTAAATGTATTGGGTCTCGTGCCGTCTGCTGCCAGCGGGTTAAGACACAAGACACACATGGGTCTCTCCTCTGGCCCCACCATTCCCACCGTGAATCCAAGCGCAAGATGGGCTTCATCATGGGCTTTTTGGTTGATAAGGCTACTGCCTGTCTTTTTTTTTTGTCTGCTTGTGCTGAATCATCAGTTTATTTTTTGTGGTTCATGTAACACATTTATCCATTTACGTTATTATGCCCACTACGTACACTGCACTCCATGTGAAAGTTTCCTTATAGTCTTGTGCTGCAGTTAACATGCCGATGTTAAACCGTTATTGTTGCACTATGGTTCCACTTTTTTCTCCCAGGCCCCGAACTGATGTTATTTTAATTTACTTGTATTAATGACCCATTTCTAATTTTCTCCGTTCATTGCACCCCACCTGTCGTGTCTTTATCCCCCACTACTGGGGCGCACCCCACACTTTGAGAACCACGGCCCTAAACCTTTTTAATCCAAGGTGGCAAAATGTCCGAACTGCTTACAATGCTACAAGGTGTACAAAGGTGACATGTAGACACGATACTGGTTTGTTCTATCATTCTTAAACATTTACCCTCTATTTCAGGAAAACAGAGTTATGAGAATTTTGAGGTCTTAGGATGGATCCAGATCAACTGCAAGTATTCTCAGTTCGTGTTACCAAGGGCATTTTCAAAGAAACGAAAGCCATACTGTCCTTTATTCATGAGTCCACTGGGACTCATCAAGTCTATTCTTTTATTAAAAGTACAATATCAAACTATCCATTATCTATACCCCTTATCCTAACGAGGGTCATGGGGGGTCTGGAGCCAATCCCAGCTGACATTGGGTGAGAGGCGGGGTACACCCTGGACAGGTCACCAGTCTATCACAGGGCTGACACTTAGGCAGTGACAACCACGCACACTCGCTGTTTTACTGTTATATTAGTCTAATATCTTTCAGACACACAATTTCACATTCAAATATATATAATTAACAGGCTATTTTCTTACAAATAATTGATTATTTCTTCTGTACAAAGTCAAAACAGTGGAAGCCTTGCATCACAACATCCACAGGTGACAAGGTCACATCTTCAGTTAGCATGTTTTGATCAACCAAGAGTCTAAACCCCAACACTGCTTGATTTACAAGGACATAAAACAAAGACAAGCAGCAAATCATCAAGGTTGAACCAGAGGATGTTGGGCGTTCTTTGTCTGATAAATGATTTAAATACTTGTTCCTGATTCTGATCAACAAAATAGTTTAGGGTTCTAAATTTTAAACTTTAATAAAATATATATATAGACATTTGCTTATTTTAGTTTTAAGATACTGAAAACTATTTGTATTCTAGGTGCATGTGGAAGTATAAATATGACAAAATTAAGGTGACTCACCCAAGCTGCCTTCCTCAGACCCATCATCTGATTCCTCCCACATGTCCTCATTAGCTAATAAAGGATTCTGTGACTCAGAAGTCTGATTCTTCAAGGGGAAGTAGTGGCCATTCCCTTGGCTGACATGTACATTGGACAAAACATGGAAGCTGGTTAAAGGACTATTACCATCACCTACTCGTCATTCCACATTTTGTCCATTAACTCCATTGTTGCTACATACAAAAACAGCTCTGTATTCTGCAGACTTATTGTTCAGCATTTTAATTCTGTGAATATTGCAAATAAATTTATTTTGTAGAGCCAGTTCTAAAATGTGAGAGCACAGGTGCATAACAAATGCAAAATGAGCAGAGACTCAGTATATTATGCATCTTAACTAACCGTGTCTTGAAAACAAACTGACCTTGTGAAGACAGGGATGAACCACAGTCTCCGATTCTCTCCAAATACCTGCAGTAGGTTTTTGCGTATGCCGACATTGAAGCCATTTCTGTCTGGTCCACTGACGAAAACTGGAGCTGAGAAGGCCTCTAGAAAAGGAAGCACACAGCTGTAGGTCAGAATATACTGCCATGTTTCAACTTTTACATAGGACCTATATACTGACCCTGTTCCATAATAAGAATATAAATATATTTATCTATCATTTAGGCAGTGAGAACAGATGAATGAGCAGAATCTAAGAGTGTTCCAATAAATATATAAACCCTCACCTAACGTGGATCTATTCTTGGCCACCAACCAACAGTGATAGCCAAAGAGGAACATGAGACTGACTAAGAACATGAGCGCCACAAACATGAGGAAGAGGACATGGAACTTTGCAGGCTTATTTGGCAAGTCCCCCTGGAAGAAAGAAACAGGAGAAACAGAAACCTGAGAAAATGGCCGGCTTTAAAAAGGTATATAACTTATGACAGTGGGCTTAAGATCTCTGTTGTTGTGACTTTGAAATAGTGCAGACTACAACTCAAACTTGCGGTAGACTGTATTATCAGCTAAGCATGACTGATAATTTAGGTTAATGACACTCACCACCCAGAATTTGAGGAAATACTGAAAAACTGTTGCTGCAATATATACACAGTAAAGTATGGAGTAGGAGAGGAAAAGCAGGAAAAACTTGTAGTTGGAAAAGCCCACACAGTTGTTCACCCTAAAAGAAAAAATATGTTCTGATGTCAGAACAAAATTAATGCATACATTCATTCTATGAGGTACATATAGGGTAAATTACAACTTACCAGGGACAGTGATGGTCCATCTTCAAGACACATCTGAAAAAAAAAAAGCATGAAACTTATTTTTCTCCTACCACATAATTTTGTTCCTGTTGCAGCTATTTTAAAGCATATCTTAATACACATTTCTTTACATGCATTATGACAGTGGTTTGCTAAACCGCAGCTCTGACTGATACTCTAAGAGGCAGTGTGCCAAGAAAGCAGGCGTCTATCACAACAGTCCCTGACCAACAAATATCTCTTTCTTTTTTTTATGGCTTAGTAAGGAAAGGGTGACTTACGTTTCACAAACTGAGCAGTGGTGACAGCGGTCAGGCTTCAGTACCTGGCAGCGGTCACAGAACCTGATAGCTGGAGACAAGAGGATGGCCAGTTGAATGAATGACATTTGAGCTGACCTTACCCTTCATTTACTTCCTGTAGCCTCGGACTTAGTCGTAGCAATCAGCGCTAACAAGAGAGATATGCTGGCTGATTACTCTGGATGGGAATGGTCAGGAACCCATGCAAAGGTAATCACCCTAGCCTACATGCTTTCAACAAACACACGTTAAGTACAAGATGACAGACTGTGGCTAATGTACCTGCCTTGTTACCCCAGGGGTTTAGAGATATGGTGAAAAATAGAATCAGAAATTATATCCTTGAGGGGAAAAGGCACAAATTACACTGACAGGATGGTCTACCTCCAGACTGAGCTCGAGTGAAGATGGGTAGTTTCTTTGCAATCTCAACCAGGATTTGTTTCTGAGCATCTGGCCTCTCTTCCATCTCGTATCTTTGCTTGTCTGAGTAGGACAGCTGAAACTAGAGCAATAAACATGCATCATGGTCAACACCACATTTGATATATATATTATATATGTAATTTATAGTGCAGTAAATCAAAAGCTTTACATTGAGTCTGTTGTCTTTTAAAGAGACAAATGATACCTTTTTGCATGGTGATGCAGGAGGGGTGAAGATGGACTTCCAGTAGGTCCAGGAGAACATCCCAAAGCAAACGTGAAATACCAGTAGATAGACCACTGAAAGCACAGAACACAGTCAGATTATACAAACACAACAATGACATGAACTTGTTTAGCATGACACACTGCTGGTAGCAGAAAAGAAAGTGGGTAACTCACCCTTTTCTAATGTGCTGGTGAGTGTAACTGTAAAAAACAACAATATGACAATAAAAACACAAGCCGGATGCCAATGACTAAAAACAGTGTAGCTAACTGTTTCCACTAATACCCGTTTGATTATTCAAAGGGGAGCAACATTTGCCAGCTAACACGTACAGCCAAAATAGGTATCTGAATGAATACACGGTTAACACTGACCGTTTATTGGTAATGAGAAAGTAAATTACATGCCATTTTAAAGCTAACTGTTACCTTAACCAAATAGAGGCACACACCCTAAACCACTTCCGCCTAGTTTGCTAGCTCCTGCACTATCTATAACATATTTTTTGTCAACACTGCTGTGCGGCAATCTGCGTGGTCTATAGTTCAGCGGTCAAAATCACAACAAACGAACACAATCGGTAATACTTACAAAGACATAGCTCAAATACGTAGGCGTAGTATGACCACAAAACCACGGAGGTTATAATAAGGACAGGTATCCAAGAGAAAACCCTCTGACAGCACCTCAAACCTCTGGAGAGAGCCATATTCCATCTAACCGCCGTCGTGTTCTGCGTTCGACTACCATTCCTGGGATTTATCCATCGGTGACATCGGGGAGTGATTCACCGCACTACAGAAACCACAGCTGAGTCTTGGTGGTTGATCTGGTTAAAATAATACATTTTAATTATATTACTCTGGTAATAGAATCAATGTTGTATTGTATAATATTTTTTTTTATTTAAGTATTCTTAATAAGTATATTCAGAGGTTGAATAATAGGAGAGCAACTGCTGTGAACCAGAAATTCCATCCAGTTCCAAATTGCCAATTCCAGTTTGGTTTATTGTGATACATTTATTTACAAGGAAAAAACAGACAGAACAACTGCAGTAAGTCGTGGACCTTCCATTGTTATCACTCTCATTTCTACACCCAGACATGCTCTATTTAAACTAAGAAATAGGCCAAAAGAATAGAATAAAAGCCATACAGAAATCATATTTTAAACAAAGACAGTTAATACATGTAAGGCTTTAATTTCCACACAAGACATTTTCACATGTAACAAAAAGAAAAGCACATGTGTAAATCATTTAATTAAAGATGGTTATATTCAGTTGAGCTGCTTCAGTTTCAGCAGATATATTGTATTAAGCAAGACATTTTACAGTTGAAAAACAAACTTGTACATTTTCTCAGATGGACAAAATGCAACAGCAACACTGTTTGTAAGTCCTCAGAAGCAAAAACTTTAGCCTGGCTGTAATGACATTTGATCTCTACAACCTCAGAGTCAGTACACTTTTTGCTTTATTTGACAGTAGGTGGTAGGAAAAGCAGGGAAGAGAGATGGGGGAGGACATGCAACATACACTGAAGATTTCCAGCTGGACCTGAACCAAGGATTAAACTTTTGCACTATTTTTTCAGTTATGTGCTCTTGTTTATGTCTGTGTGCTTTATTTGTAGGTACACAAACTGATGGATTTCTGTCAAACTCACTGCAGGCAATACCTCCCACGAGCTAAACTGGATCAGTGTTGTTTGAGTGTCAGCCATGAATGTTGCTGCAGTTGATTAACTTCTAACATAAAAAATAATGTTCACTCTCTCTACTACATGCTCAGTGAGAGACGTCATCTTGGGTTGTTTTTAATTTGAGTTTAATGTAATAATTTACACAACCAGCTGGTTAAACTTTCAAGATTTGAGTGGATTCAGTTAAACTTTAATGATACTATGTGGTTATAATGTGGATAGCAGTGACAAACAGATACATCAAGGAAAAATGTAATTAAAAATTTTAAACAGAAATTAATTACTAAACAACTGACAAATCCAGTACTTGGGCATGTTATGTACAGTATTAATAATCCATTTTTCAGTAAAGATGCGTAAAATAACTGCAGTAGTATCATTGCCAGCAAAATGAAGACAAATGCAAAGTGGTATTTGTCCATAAGCTTCTTCCTCTTACTGAGGTTGAGATGCACATTATTCTCTTTTATTGTACTTTTATGGGTGATATATACAATAAATACAACAGCATCCACTGCTCTGGAGCCAGAGAAACTGAGGCCAATCTCTTAGGACATATTGTCTCCTTGATGGGTCAGTGTCATCCTATACACATTCCTAGTCACACTAGTTTTATTAACATATGACACAATGTTTTTGGACTGATATAACAAGCAAGATGTGTTCTTGGCTAAACAGTTGACAAAGTGCAGTCGATGTGCTAAAAAAAAAAGAAACAAAAATACAAGATGTAAATAGTGATGTTTTAAGGTCAAAAAGGCTTAATAAATTAATCATTTTAGGACTTAAAAACATGAAAACAAATAAAGATCTTACAGATAATTTAAGAAAACATTTTGAGTATTGCACCACTGCTGAGCTCCCATTTTTTCTCCTCTACTGTCACAGGCTACCAAGAGTGTGGGAAAAGAATTTCATAAGAATAACACACTGACAAACCCAGAATCACTCCAGGCTTTTTTCAACAGTTAATATTCACTCAGAGACACAATTGCTAACACTCAAGTGCCTTTTAAATGATGTTCAATTCTTTCTATGTTCTCATTAAGTGAACTTTACGACATTTTAGAACTAAATAAATCAACACCAGTTGCATTTTGTAGGATTCCCCAGCAGGAGGCACTCTGAGACTTACAGCCTTTCCATCACCCATATCATCAGTATCAACAGTTTACAATGCACCTTTTAATAATTGATCTTTGAAGGATCTCAAATTTAAACATGTTTAAAGTCAAAAGTTAGTTTCATGCAAAAAGAGATTTTTGTAGTGTTCCTCTAAGCGGTTTTTGATATGTACTGATATACAATGGAGATTGAGGCCTTTTAATAGATGATTACGTAAACATCAAACTATCCAATTACACTAATAATTAGATTTGTGCTTCTATGTACCATAGTTATCATTATAAGACAAAAAAAGAGAAAGCCCTGCAGAAACAAACTGATCTTATGTCAGAGAGCTCGTTACAGTTTCATCCTTTTTTCTGAAGATTTACTGTATGTCACGCCGTCATGCTCTGACGTGACCATCCAACACAGTGCGTAGCAGCTAGTGTAACAGTCTCCCCATTACTGAGTGCTGGGAGACTTTTCATCAGGTCATTGGACCCCAGAGCTACTGGAGCATTTAACTCAAACAGTCCAGTGGGATCATTGATCACACGCTTTGTAGAGAATTTCACAGCACCACCTGCTCTTTTTCCTTTACGTAATACTGACTCCCTCTCTGCAGTGTCTTCTGAGACAGAAGCATAAAGTGAGCTGCACCCAATACTGACCTCCTCTCTTACATCACACATGTTCCCCCCCTCTCATTTGTTAGGCCTACTCTTTTCTCTGACATCTTCTCCAACTTCAGCACGTAGTCCGTCACTGGCTCTCCATGCAGCTCGTTCTCTCGCTGACCCCCACCTCCTCTGCTTTGCTTGCTCTTCAGGCAACAGTGTCGGTGGCCCTGTGGTGACAGCTCCTCTCTCATTCAACCGCTCACTGGAGGCAGGGAGCGGCCGTCCATCCATCAGCACAGCAGCAAACCCCTCCACTACAAAGCCATTGTGACTAGCAAAATAGTAACAGCCTTTTAATCAAAACATTTACCCCTGTGTTAGAGTAAAACACAAACAACTCCTACATATCAGCAGGTTGAGGCAGACTCCTTGTCATAGAGATTTGTAAGAGTGGAGCATGTTGGAGGTGCATTTCATGCCGCCCCGGTGGTGGTAGTCTTCATAAACAGACAGTAGCGGCTGGAGGAGAGCCCATCTGGGAAGAAGTCAAGCGTGGCTACAGGAAAGTGCAAAAAAGACCCAGGTTTACAATGTACCACCATGCAGGCTCATTAACTGGTGAGATGAGCACAATGGCTGACACAATTCTGTGTTTTCTGAGTTTGCTCTTGAGCTGCTGCTCACTGTTATGCCTTGAAGATGAAGTGGCACTTAGAGTGTGCATTTCATTTGACCCCTGAGACTCTCATGACTCTCAGTGTGCTCTGCAGTCAAGCCTGATTCAGGGAATGCTGATGATGCTAAGTGTTTCCGAGGGTGATTCATATGGGAGCTGTGTGTGTGTGTGTGTGTGTGTGTGTGTATGTGTGTATCTGGGCAACCAGGCCCTTATATGTATGTGTTTAAGGAAGAGCAGTGGAAGCATTATTGGGGTTTTTTGTGTTACCAAACTGTATGTCTGTCTCTGTTTCTTTACCACCTAGCAAGATAATGCAGTACTGAGTTTGATAAGATTTTTATTTCATTCTCTGCATGCTTCAGTGTCTGGACAGGGAATTCACCATGTGTGTGTCTGTTTGAAGTCAATATGAAGCCCATATTGGAAAGTCTGCATTCATCCTAACATATTGTCATTGGTGTGGCTCCAGGTGATCAAAGACTAGCTGTTTGGAGTCACCCACATTTAGACAAAAGGTATGTGTGCAAAAATCAGACATGAGCACAGGAGTAATTAGAGAGACAGACCAGTACAAGAAAACGTCAGCTATGACTTCACATAACATAGTCTCACACGTCATTTGCAATTTACCTTAACACAACGCAGAAAAGGACTTAATGCATTCTACAATTAACCTGTTAGCACCAATGCATTGCACCGAGAAATGTCTAGAAACTTGTTCTGGTGCATTATGCATGTATGAATAATTTATGTTGGACTCAGAATAATACATGTAATTTCTGCATTTTTGCATCATGAAGACAAATGTTCAGATTCTGAAGATGACTGAGGAGCCTGAAGGTCTCTTTCTCACTTCAGTGATAGACACGGTGGACTACAGATGTCTGGAAAGCTGCTGGGTTGGTGTAACATCAGCAAACGGTGCTCAGCGGAGCAGGAGAAGTCCTTAAACAGGGCTATATTTCTGCCCGGCCTCTGCTCATATTCACACTTAGCAGCAGAACAAACAATGACAGGGTGGGGAGGAATTGCAGACACCTCACCCAGCATGTGTGAAAATAAATCGGCTCAAGGGTGGAGACCTGTGTGTCTGCAACAATCATGGAAATTTTAATGGCCACACCACGACGGAGGGCTGTGTTTTAATAAAGGCGTTTCATCACGCCGTGTGTGTCATATGCTCCTGGGCGAATTCTGTATTACATGCTGCCTTGAAAACATGTGCAGAGCTCTTTTCATTCATTCTTTTCAATGTATTTCATCGCTATCATTGTTCTTCACCTCTATGCTTGTCATCAAACTGATTAATTGCATTTTGCCAAGTGATATACTAATACCTTGTGTCTAACCACAGGATAATATTTGGTGTAGAACATCAAAGAGCAGTTGTAGCAGCTTTGTGGCTTTCAAGAGCCCTTTTGAAAGCTGAAACCCTATCCATGCACTGTCTAAACTTAACCACCTCTTCGTCACTGAAAATATGGAAAATCTGATCTGGAGGTGAACCTTTTCTCCTTCGAGATAATGAGAACAAAAGGCATCCTCTCACTTAAACTCATTTTCATCACCTCATGTTAACTTTCCATTTGCCTTGTGTTAGTTTTCCATGATTGGTTGTATCAATATGTGTTATCTGGCTGAGTGAAAAGGAAGTGGTAGTTAGGTGC